TTGTACTGTTTTGGCTGTAGCTGTGTATAAAACCATCCTAATTATTTCTCTTATAATTTATTTAAGTTTATTTTATGTGCATTGGTGTGAAGGCAGTTGTGAGCTGCCATGTGGATGCTGGGAATTGAACTTGGGTCCTCTGGAAGAGCAACTAGTGCTCTTAACTGGCTGAGCCAACTCTCCAGCCCCATATTTCTTGTATTGAATAGATAGAAATAAGTAAGTCTGTCACATGGTCAAGTTTTTCAGTGATCTGTCTGTGTTTGAAACAGGGTCTTGAAATGTAGTTTAGGCTGACTTTGAACTCGTGTATTCTTGCTCTAGCCTCCTAAGTGCCTGCGGGGATTTTAGTATTTATGTGGTATAGTCCTAGAAAATCGATCTGTAGAAGTGTGAGCAAGGATCCAGTGAAAACCCTGAACTGACAGCTCTATGGGTGGGAAGAAGGATTATTGTAAACATGTGACTGTTGCATGGCTCTCTCAGGTGATAAAGGGGAAGTAGGGAATAGCCAGAGGCATTTGAGCTAGTCCAAAGCTGCCCTGGCTTCCTGTTAGGGATGAGAGAGTAGCCAAAAAATTGGGGAATGCCTCAGTAGTTATAAAGAGAGCAGGTAGCTTCAGAGCCGAGGAAGCTGTAAGCTGAAGTAGCCAGTGTGTAGCTCCATGGTGTCAGGTCATGATTACCAGTTTATTTTTAATTTAAAAAATTGTCTTTCAAGTTAGGGTTTCTCTGCACAGCCCTCTCTGTTCTGGAACTCGAACTGTAGAGCAGGCTGCCCTTGAATGCAGAAATATGCCTGCCTTTGCCTCCCAAGTGCTGAGATTAAAGGTATGCGCCCCCATGCCTGACCTCTGTTTAGAATTTAACAATGAGTACATTATATTTACATCATATTTACATCATTTATGTCCACCTTCCCTTTGCCCCTTCCAGTGCCTCTTCCCTGTTCCTTCTGATGTTCTCAACCTCTTCTTTTGTATTTATTGTTTTACACACACACACACACACACAGTGTTGCTCGTGTGTACATGTGTTTAAGGCTGACCACTGTGAATGTATAACCTATTTGGGGCTCATCTCTGGAGAAAGCTGATTCTCCCCATCAGTGGGCTGGACTTCTGGATTCTCTACATCCTTACCAACTGTGGTATTTGCCATTACTTTATTGTTGGTATACTGTCTCAGTAACTGTGAAGTGGTACCTCGCTGTGGGTTGGATTTGCACCTCCCTGAGGCTGATGATGTTAAGCATCTTTTGGCAGCATTATTGCTGCCTTATTGGCAGCATCTGTGTGTTGTGTTAGCTTGCTTTCTATTGCTCTAACAAATTCCCGGATAACCAACTTAGAAAAGGCTTACTTTGGCTCATGGTTTTGAAGGTTCTAGTCCACAACTGAGTAGGCTGTAGAGTCACTCCCAGTAAATGCCTTTCTTGGACTGCTGTGTCTGTCTGCCCTGGTTTGCAGTGTGTGAGATTTCCTTGGTGCTATCTGGCTCAAGAGTTTCCCTGTCTTTTAATTCTTTAACAGATAAGAAAAAAAACAAAACAAAACAAAACAAAAACCTAACCTGATGAAGAGCCCAGACTGTATCACTTTTTCCCTAGCTTAGGGGAGGAGCAGGAGGACAGTCTCTTCCAGAGAATATCACAGATCTGCTGTGGTTTATAAAATAATGTCTCAAGTTTCAAAAACTTAAAAGCCTTCACATTTTAGGGGAGCTTGAAAGAGATATTTTATGCCAGATATACTTGTTAATGTTTACTTTTGCATTGGTTATGAAGAAAATTTGTGTATGTAAGTGTTGATAGGATTTCTGTTTCCCATGAAAATGTGGGTTTAGAAAGAAGGGAGTGATACTATAGAGCACCAGTAGGGGTCAGTCATGGCCTGTTCAGCAGACGATTTCCTAGGCTGTTTGAGCTTTATTTACGAGGGATGTCATTTACTTTTTTTGTATTTTCAAAAGGCAGTTAGTGCAACTGTTTTTAAACATACACAAAATGTGCTTGTTCATAAGTTCATACTGATGCCGGTCGGTAGCAGAAGTAAGGTTTCAGTGCTTTGTGATTGATAGATCTAACTCAAAAAATAAAGTGCAAAAAGCAAACTAGCTTATCATGGAATGCTCTGACAAAGTCAAGTAGGCATCAGAAATAACTGAGGGCCATGTAAGCCAATCATAAACAATATTGATGCTCCAACACATGACACGAGATAAGACTTTGCTGGCATTTCTGTTTAAATGGGAGAATTGATGATTAAGCCCTCTGCCCTACAGTTCTCCAGTTTTGCTAGATATGCCCATAAATGGAAATGTGTGCTGTTATGAGGAAAGATACCAATACTAAAAGACTATTCCAGGGATTTTGATAGATCCACTTGTGATGTCTGAGGAAGTAAGTTTTGAATGTATACTGGTATCATGTGTACTCATATCATGTATACTGGTATCATGTATGTATACTGGTAGCATGTATACTGGTGGTGCGTATACTGGTAGCATGTGTGTACTCTGATATCTTGTATGTATACTGATATCATGTATGTATACTGGTATCAAATATGAGGATTCAGAGCTTGTACTACGTAATCGTCTGTGATTCTGTCAACAGTGTGCACTCACATACTTCAGTCATTTCGCAGTATTCATTTTCAGTGATGTTCTTATGAGAAAATGGTGTGGCTATATGTGTCTAAGCAGTTGGGATGTGTCTGTATGCCTACATGAAATTGTAATTTTTTTCTTTGTTCTTTGTGTTTTTATTTTTTTGAGGCAGGGTTTCTCTGTGTAATACTGGAACTAGCTCTGTAGATCAGGCTGGCCAGGAACTCACAAGAGATCTGCCTGCCTCTGCTTCCCCAGTGCTGGGATTAAAGGTGTGCCACCACCACCTGTAATTTTTTTATTATTTTATTTAATGTATTTTTCATACCAACCAAGGTTTACCCTCCCTCCTCTGCTCCCAGTGCCGGGTCCCCCACCCCTCCCCAGCTACACCCTCCCTTCCCACTCCTCCTTCCCTATTTAGAAAGGGGCAGGCCTCTAATGGCAGGTGAGGCAGGACTAAGCTCCTCCCTGTGTTTTCTTACCTAAAGTAAACCAGTGTGTTTCCATTGTGTTTAGTCCTTAGAAAAGCCCATGCGTCAGTTATTTCTCTTACCATTGTGGTTTGTCTCCCATCCCCTACGCTAGGCCCTACTTCCTAAGGCTCCACAATCTGCCCCAAACAGCGCCACCACCCGGCCACCAAATGTTTGAACATGGGTCTGTGGGAATGCTCCACATTCACACCTTTACAGTCCTTGCAACTTTGTACAGTCACCCTCTGTCGTTATGCTTGATTTTTATTTAGCTTTTCAATTTGTATGTGTTTGGAAGTATGTGCACATGTGAGTCTAGAAGAGGGCAGCAGGCCCCCTGGGGCTGGAGAGACAGGTGGTTCTGAGTCACTGCCCTTAGGTGCCAGGTTTCTTTCTAAGTCTTAGTCTGTTAGGGATGGGACAAGGGCACGTAAACTGAAGGAGCAGCTGAGGACTCACACTGTGAACTGCAAGAGGGAGTCAGAGAGCCGCCTAGGAATGGCCTGTGGCTTTGAAACCTCACAGCTCCGCTTCCTGTGACACACTTCCTCCAGCAAGGCCACACCTCCTAAACCTCCCCAAACCGAGGCACCAACTGCAGGGACATGTCATTCAAGCCATCACACATTCCTCATTGCTGGCCACCCCAACCCCAAGCACAGTTGTTGCTATAACAAGATTTAAAGAGCCCACGATGTCTTTAGGACTACTGGCAAGGCTTTACAGGACAATAGCTAACACTCCTACCCTTTCCCTTTGTATGTGTTCCTTCCGGTGCCCAGCAGGAGAGCCAGATACCCTCCTGTCCACCTCATGCTGTTTGCTTATGTTTGTCTTTCAGGGTTCATGCCAGACGTGTTTTTATTTTTGTTTTCTAAAAGCTATTTCTGGTTCTGTCATTGAAACCTAGCTTACCTTTTGGTGTTTGGGGGATGCGGGATAAAAAAACAAAACAAAACATATCCTGTGTGCTCCTTCAGTTCTCATAGTGCGCATCCTCCTCTCTGTGTAAATATGAACCATGTTTGTGATTCTATACACAATTATTTACCGGAACATCCCAGGGGGTGGGGGCTTCTGCTCCTTTCAACCTGTGAATGAAATTGTAGAAGTCCCCCCTTGGAAAAGCACCCCCCATGTACATTCCATCCTCCTCTCTGTCCATCGTCAACCCTCTTGCGTCTCAGTCTTTAGCTGCAGAACTAGGGTAGAGGCGGTGGAGGGCTCTGTGAGGCCACAGTATTGACAGCACCAGCCAAGGTTCATTTGCACATACTCTGAAGTCCAGCATCCAAAATCAGGGTGGGGTCGATAGGGTGGGGGTCCCTTCTGGGGACGGTAAGGAGTCTCGAATGCCTTTCCCCCTGTGCAGACTGTGGGCAGTCCTTGGCGTTCCTTGTCCACAGCTGCCTCTCTAGCCCCCAGTTGCCTCACCCACAGCCTGCTCCCTTCTGTCTGCCTCCTGAAGGGTGTTTTTCTTTCACCATCCATGGAGCCAGAGGGTTCTGGTTTCCCTAAGGCATTGTTTCTCAATCTGTAGGTTGAAACCCTTTTCACAGGGGTCACCTAATAGCATCAGGAAACACAGATATTTTCGTTACAACTCCTAACAGTAACAAAATTAGTTATGAAGTAGCAATGAAAATAATTTCATGGTTGGGGGTCACCACAGCATGAGGAGTTGTATTAAAGGGCCACACAACATTAGGAAGGTTGAAAGAGATGCTGATTATAACCATTTGAATTTACTAAGTGTCTTGTGATTGGTATAAGTATAAATCCTAAGCACACTGAGCTATTTTTACATTCTCAAAATTTATATCTCAAGAAGATAGTCTGTTGGGTGTAAGGTAATTAAAAATGTTAATACTGCTTTTCAAAGATAGAATTTAATTCTGTGTTTTTAATTTTCAGCCAGAAAACCTCGCCCAGAAGCTTCCAAACCTTGTGGAACTGTGAGTCTGTCTATTCAACTTTTAAAATAAACAAATAGAAAAGCAAGAATGGGAATGTTAAACTATTTGAAATGTGTTACTTTTGGGTGTGGTTGTCGTGTTGCTATGGGTAGACCGGAGGCTTTGCTAACTTACCTCCATGGTATGTTGGAACCTTTTAATGTGTTGAAATGTCTCAGCTCAGATGATGAAGATGCCCTTCTGGGAAGTCCATGCAAATTGGGAGAATGTTGCTGTTTCTGTATGAGCCAGGAGATAAGCTGTCTGATGGCCTAGAGGGACATCAGTGACAAGTTCTCCCCACTTCCTCCCTGTCTCAGTTTCAGCTTTCTTTGAAGATTGCCTACACAACACAAAATTCACCCATTTGTTCTCTTGAGGTGCTGTGTGTTTTCTGTGTACTGCGTGGTATGGCAGCGCCTCCCCACTGAGGTGCATCTTAGTAACCAGGTTTTATTTTTACTTATTTTTAATTGTTTTTGTGTCGTGCATATGTGTGTGCACATGCATACACAGAGATGACAATAAGTTTGTTGATGTCTTCCTCTCTCAATTTCTTCCTTACTCTTGAGATTGGGCCTCTCATTGAACTGTAGTGTGTCTTTTGGGCCCTACTGGCTGGTTGGCCAAAGGCTCTCAGGATCTCTCTTTGTCCTCCAGTTGCTAGGGTTGCAGACACATATAGCGCTCTCTCTGACTTTTTTGTGGTATTCAAACTCTGGTCCTTAAGCTTGCAGAGCTCCCAGATTTACTTTTTTTTTTTTTTTTTTTTGAGATAGGGTTTCTCTGGCTGTCTCGGAACTCTCTCTGTAGACAGGAAGCCAGAGATCCATCTGCCTCTGCCTCTGCCTCCCAAGTGCTGGAGTTAAAGGCATGCCCACCACCACCTGGCCACTTTTGTTTTTTAATGTGTGAAAAAGAATGGCTGCCATAGACCCATATATGTGAATGCTTAGTCATCAGGGAGTGATGCTATTTGAAAGGATTGGAAGGATTAAGAGGTTTGGCCTTACTGGAAGAAGTATGTCACTGGGCGTGGGCTTTGAGGTTTCAAAAGACTGTGCCAGGCCCAGACTTCCTCTCTCTAGTTATGGATCAGAATGTAGCTCTCATCTACTTCCCTAGCACCTTGCCTGCCTACTACCATGACTTCTGCCATGATGATCATGGACTTAATCTCTGAAATTATAAGCAAGTCCTCAATTAAATGTTTCCCCTTGTAAGACTAGCTGACATAAAGAATAATGGATTTGTGTTTATTTTACCCCAGTGGAAGGTAAAAATTTAGGTCACATATATTTCTCTGTACTGATTTCATCATACAGGAAAGGCTGTGTCTGATTCACTATAGGAATATTGTCATTGCTGTCCTTGCTCTGTGTTGCTTGATCTATTAGGAAGGTGGAGGAAAGCCAACCTGCTACACCCACGTTTACCTCGAGTCTCTGTCATTTGTCCCATCCTCTCTCTTTTTTCCTGGGACTCCTCAAACTAACAGAAGAGGTGATAATATAGTACAGCGAACACCCACAGCCAGTCACCAAGTGTAACCCACTCAACACTGTGACACTTCTTCCTCATGCATGTGGGGTGTGCTCTGAGTGACGTGAAAGGAGTTGCTGGGCCCTGGCACTTCCACCAGGAAGCCCAGTATCTAGCCAGTGCTCTCTGATTTCCCTCTTGCTGAGTGGTTCTTAAGTTCAACTAGAGATCAATCAGTTGATTACTACCAAGGCTGGAGTTTTTTAGATACAACATGATGTTACCCACAATAAAAATAGCTTTACATCCTCTTTTTATATGCCAGTTTTTGTTCATTAGTTTGTTCGTTCATTCATCCAGTTTTCTTAATTAAGTGCCCTAGATTAGTCACAGAAAGTTGAAAAGAAGTGATGAGCACATGAAGGTGTCATTGTATTTGTTTGGTCTTCTCCATTAAATATATTAGCTTCAGGCATCTCATAAGTGTTCTGTGACTGGGAAGCTCTCTTCACTTATTTTGTGCTTTTTTTTTTTTTTTTCTTTTTAAATGTGTGTCTCTTTTTTCTTCATATTTTGCCGTTTATTTTAATAATATTGTACATTATACTGATCAAGCCTTGTACATCAAACCAATATTATAATTCTGGGATGACTTCTGTTGGGTCATAGGATATAATTATTTTTTTATGTTACTATGTTTGGTTGGGTAGTGGAATTTTGCAGCTGTTTTCAAAAGGGATGTTTCTTTGTAATCTTGTGATTTGTTTGTATTTGGTGTCCTAGTATTATTGACTTCAGAATGAGTTGCAAGTTTTCCTGGCCTTTCATTTTTCTACACCTTGCCCCTTTCTTTATAAAAAAACATTTGCTAAGTTGGTAGTGGGTCCTGGCTAATCCTGAACTGATCACTAATCACAGTTTCTGTAGACTTACTGTGGGCAGATTTGACCATGAGCTGTTAGTGGTCAGCTCATGATGAAACATACTTACTGTAATTGCTTAATCCACTCCGTCCCCTAGTCTCTGTGAGTCTCCGTGTGAGTGTTATGACACACCATCAGCCATGCGACTCTGCTCTAGCCTTCTCTTCTTTTACCTGTGTAAGGCTTCAGCCTCGTGGGATATGCCAGCCCAAGGCCTCCTTAGTTCTTCAGTTGCTCGTTTGCAGTGCTCTGGACTTGTCAACGCCCCACCTGTGCCAGTGGTCTGCCCTGGGTACCAGATCCCTCATGGGCACTCTATCAGCTTTCCTTCAAGTTTTCTGCTTGTGTGTTATTTGTTGAAGTTGTTTGCTACTGCTTCAAGAAGCTGTGAAATTAAACAGTTGCCTGGTATTTGTTTCACATTAGCATTGGGGGTAGGGTTTTTGTTTGTTTGTTTTGTTTTTGTGCTAGAAACTTTGGACTTAACCTCGATAATAGGATCTATATATATTTTACATATGTACACACACACACACACACACACATATTTAAATAGGGTCAGGAAACTGCAAGTTGGTCCAGTAAGGCAATGAAAGACTTCAACAGAAAAGTTAGTACCATAATGATTTCATAGTACACCAGTGACATGCAACAGCAGGTCACACTTTATTGACATGCTCTGAGACCAAGTGTATAGAAATGCTTTGGGAATGCGGCTTGGGAAGCCTTCTCACGCACTTTACTCCAGGCTACTTCTTTTCATTTTGGTTGTGAACACTTGGCTTTCCTTAATTCTACAGCTAGCATGGGGCTAGCACACATGAAAACAGGGCTCACAGGCCACAGCGTTATACTCCACAGCATTTTTCTAACATAGACACTCCCCTGTCGCCGCAGGCCTTGGGCTAGTGACCATAGTCTTATGTATACTGCTTCAGGAAAAATTTCCAGTATTTCCATTGATTTTTATGGGAAAGAGGTTCTTTATCACTTTTCATCACAATTATTATACTTTTCTAGATTAGCTGGGCCATTTGACATTTCCCTTGTGTGTTAGAACTATCTCCCCCTAACAGGAACTTAGGCAGGAATGACCTTAAACTCCTGACCTCCTGCCTCTACCTGTCAAGTACTGAGATACAGGCATGCACCATCACACCGTTTTTTAGTTCCTGTTCGTGTTGCTGTGACAAAATGCTTGGTTCCACTGTTAGAGGTCCCTTAGACTGCCCAGGCCTCCTAACTGAGACCCACATTCAGGGGTTTGGGTTGGTCCTATGCTGGTTTCCCAGCTATCAAAGGGGTCCTTGAGCTACCCTTGTTCAAGTCAGCTGTTTCTGTGGGTTTCTCCACCTGGTCTTGACCCCTTTGCTCATCAGTCCTCCCTCTCTGCAATTGGGATTCCAGGAGTTGGGCTCAGTGTTTAGTGGTGGGTGTCTGCATCTGCTTCTATCAGCTTCTAGATGAAGGCTCTAGGCTGGCATGTAAGGTAGTCATCAATCTCACTATAGGGAAGGGCATTTAAGGTAGCCCCTCCACTATTGCTTAGATTGTTAGTTGGGGTCACCCTTGTAGATCTCCGGACATTTTCCCAGTGCCAGATTTCTCTCTAAACCTATAATGGCTCCCTCTATTATTGTATCTTTTTTCTTGTTCTCCTCTATTCCTCCTCTGACTCAGTCTTCCTGCTCCCTCATGTCCTCCTCTCCCCTCCTCTTTCTACTAACACCCTCTCCTCTCCCCCCCATGCTCCCAATTTGCTCAGGAGCTTTTGTCCCTTTCCCCTTCTCCAGGGGACCATGTATGTCTCTCTTAGATCCTCCTTGTTTCCTAGCTTCTCTGGCAGTGTGGATTGTAGGCTGGTGATCCTTTGCTCTGTCTAAAATCCATATATGAGTGAGTACATACCATGTTTGTCTTTTTGTGACTGGGTTACCTCACTCAGGATGGTTTCTTCTAGTTCCATCCATTTGCCGCATCAGATGTTTTTAATCCCTCTACCGTCTTTGGCCCTTACCTGTGAGACTACTTCGTGCTCATTCGACTGTTTAATACATCCATAATCAGCACAACTGTTCATTTTCAGGGTCTTTCTGCAGTGTGCTTCTGTTTTGATAAACTATATTTGATAAATTGATCTTGAGGTCAATTAGTAGGTTAACTCCATCCAGTGCTTTTATATATTATGTATTTTCATTTCTATATAGATGTCTTTCATTTTTCTTTACATTTTATAATTCTTAAAATGTTCATAATTTTCTTCTGTATACCTTGTCTTAGTTAGGGTTTCTGTTGCTGCAGCAAAACACCGTGACCAAACAGCAAGTTATCAAAGGAAGTCAGGATGGGAACTCAGCAGCATAGGAAAGGAGCTGATGTAGAAGGCATGGAGGGTGCTGTTTACTGTCTTGCTTTCCATGGCTTGCTCAGCCTGCTTTTTTATAGAACCTAGGGCCTCTAGCCCAGGCATGGCACCACCAACCGTGGGCTGGGCCCTCCCCCATTGATCACTAAATGAGAAAATGCATCACAGCTGGATTTCATGGAGGCATTTCCTCAGCTGAGTCTCCTTCCTCTGTGACTCTGGCTTGTGTCAAGTTGTCACAAAAGGAGTCAGTACACACCTGAATATGATCATCATGGCTATTTAAATGTCCTTGTATGCTATCGTCTGCTTAGTGGGTTTATTTGTATTGATTGGTTTGGCTTTTTATTTTATTTTATTTCCTGGTTTGGGACCATTTTCTTCATTGGATGATAGTTTTATAAATTTTCCATAGTCTACATTTTATTGTCTTGTATCAGGCTTTTTTTAGTATAGGAGTAATTTCGGATCTAAGGATAGGTTCTGTCTCTGCAAAGGCCTGGGCTGTCTAGGGTCTCCTTTGAATGCCCTGGGTAAGTGCAGCATTTGGCACTGGGCTTGGACGCATGCCTCTCAGTCCAGAGAGCTTTGTGGGCTGTTCAGCTGGTAACTTCTCTCCTGCTTTTGCCCAGGGTTTCTCTTATGCATATGCATTTTAGAATTTAGCAAAGAGTCAAGAGAGCAGTTAAGTTTTTGGAGCTGCTTTTGTGGGGTGGGGAGGGGTGGGGAGGGGTGGGGAAGGGTGGAGTGGGATAGGTTGGAGTAGGAGGTAGTTTCATTGTTTCCTGAACTCTTTTCCCTTGGCTGCTGCTAGTTGATGAGCTCTCCTATTGGCTCCATAACCTAGGAATTCTCTTCTTATGCCATAGTCCTGATTTTCCCTACAGACAGTAGGTGATGACGTGGCTTGCCTTTCCAGTTCTATTTTTAGGAAACATGGTCTTAGTCACCTGTTGTCACTGTCTGAAATAGTTGTTTCATAGATCCCATCTGTTTTTTTTTCCTTGTTTCTAGCAGTCAGGTCAGTCTGGCCCTTGTTACTCCATCATGTCTAGAAGTGGAAGTCCTGTTCCTTCAATTAAACTTTTCACCGTAGAGTACATTCATAGTTAAGGGAAGTTGTAAAGATAGCACAGAGTGTTCTCATATACCCCTCACCCAGTTTCCCTGTGGTTAACATCAGGAGTTCCATGGGATATTAGTCAACACTAGGAAACTGACATTAGCATATTGAGTAAAAGTTTGTTTCAGTTTATTAAAAAAATAAATAAAAAACAAGACAAGATGACCAAGCCATTTATTTGCCAAAGCACCTGTATCCTTCAGTGGTATTTGTGCTAACACTGAACTAACACGGAATTTGATTTCCTGCAGTATTTCAGCAAAACAAGATGAAAACTAGTGATTTCAGTTACTCTGAAATTAAGAACTGTTAAAATTGGACGTCCTAAGCCTGTGATCACAAAAGTCCTACAGCTACAGAGCAGCAAACATGTTCATTGACTCTCACCTTGTCCCAACAAGCCCCTCCCTAAAAGCTCTGCTTCAGCTCCTCTAATCCCCCAGAGATGCCAACATGCGCTCTTTTGTGATTGTAAATTAGGAGACTGGGGTGTTGTTCTTGTCCCCATGGTCACATGACTAAGCGCAGTAAAGACAGTGCCCTGTACTGGTATACCTCTCACCCAGTTATCACAGAAGGACTATGTGGATTCTCACTTGGATGTATCCTAGAATTATTTGTGGAATTCAGATCATGTTGTACTTAACACTTGATGGATGATATTTTGAATCCCTGATGGTTCCACTGTGTAGTGGGGATTAGGAACACTGTGATGCTTTATACCATCTTTATTATAGATACATTTAGGGTGTCGAAAGGTGTTTTAAAATTTCAGTCATTATAGTGAGTGCTTTGGTATATATTTTGATTCAGACATTTTCGTAGGTAGATTTCCAGGCAAGTATCTTATTGAAACAGTTTTTAAAGCCCAGCTCTGGCTCTATTTTTTATGTGATGGCATCTGGTTTTTCTGTACAACAAATGCACATTTGCATACTTGAGTGTGTATGCCTGCACATTTATTTACAGTCTTTTGGCACAAAGAACCTTAATCAAGAATACTTCCAAAGTATTGCATTTAAAATGGTGCAATCAATTCCTATACACAAAGCAAAGAGTGATTCTATTCTAGAGTATGCACTTGGTTAAATTGTGCCACATAGCTACCAAGTGAGGGCTTGCTGCCTGACAAACATAGAAGCCAATACTACAGCCTGGACTTTTGCCAAAAGAGAAGGCTTTGTCTCTCCACCAACTGGCAAGAAGGCCAGGAGCTCTCGGCTTGGGTCTCTCTTCTATCAGTTAGTGGAATAGTGGTGGGGGCATGGGAGGACGGAGAGGAGGTGGGGCCCGTTGGTGGGATGGTGAGGAGGTATGCTTATTTCTTCACCTTGGTTGTAGGGTTTATCATGTTCTGCTGGGGAGTTTGAGCATGTGATATTGATCAAAATATCCGGATGCTTTTCTTCATAACCATTTTTGAAAAAACTGATTTCAAACCTTAAGAACTGTTAGTGAAAAGCCTTTAGGTATTTCCTGGGGGAAAACTCTTATATCTGAGTGTGTCTGGGATTAGCTGATTTCAAAACCCACAGGTTAACTAACAGCCTCTACAACACTGGCCTAACTTCACATCGGAAAAGCTTCACAACATTATTTTCTGTTTTTATTATTCTGTGCTCATATTTTAAAGTCCACTAAAGATTTTTTTTAAATGCAAAAAGAAATTTTCTAAGTTATATTTTAAATTACTTTTGTGGATTTGATTGATTTGAAAATAAAGTATTCTAAAATCTAGTTTTCTTCAAAGTCAGTAATAAAACCTATTTTCTCCTATTACTACTGTTTGATCTCTGGTAGTCTCTGTTGTTTGGCTCTAAATATCTTGTTTCTGACTCTGTACTTGGAGTCTCCACTAGAGTGTGCCAGAGATACTTCAGTGGGAAAGTGTGATGACTCAGGCTTGCCTGGGCTTGCAGGCCTTTCTAAAGAGCTCCATTTGCAGAGAAATAAAATCTCTGAGTCTACAGATGCATTAGTGAACATTTAATCCCTATTCTTGGGTTACAGTAAGCATGCCAACTAGAGATAGCTGGAAGGGTCTTTTGTTTGTTTGTTTCTTATTTTCTCATTGAGTCTTTTCCCTGAAAGTGAGTTTGTGTGTGCCCCATGTGCGTGCCTGGTGTGTGTGGAGGTAAGAAGAGGGTGTTTGACCCCTGGAACAGGAATTCCGGATGGTTATGAGCTACCAAGTGGGTGCTGGGAACTGAACCGAGGGTCCCTGTGAGTCTTAACAAGTGACTCTTAACAGCCGAGCCAGTTAGAAATATCTTTCACCTGAAACTAAAAACTGGTCTCTCCTTATACTCACTAGATGCTTTTCTGAAAACCCAAATAATTTACATGATCTGGAGAAATTGGTAATTCTTTAATGAGGCTGGAAAACACCTCAAGATTTTTATATTTATTAATGATTTTAAAGTGACTTAGCTGGAAGATAGATTTAATATTTGTGACTTAGCATAAGCTGTTACTTTCAAAATGTGGTTTCTTAGCTGTTATATCTGTGTGTTTTGGGTTGACATTACAGTAAGAAAGGAAGTTTTTTGCCTTATATTTGATATGTTTTTCAAACAGAGCTTATATTAACTAATTATCTGGCAAAATACTGAATAATAACAGTGCTTTCCCTCCCTTTGGTCACAGGTACCTTCACTCAAATAACATAGTTGTGGTCCCGGAAGGTAAGCACACGAGGATTTTTAGTTTGAAAACTCTGTAGTTTCTATTCTGCTTTATGAGCAGATGAAATTATTTCTCTAAACCTATTTTGGTTGGTGTGTTAGGGAATTTTAAACTAAAGGGATTTTTAATGTGTTTGCTTTAAAATGTAATCCCAGTTAAGAATTATGACTGAGCAGATCAATAAATCTAAAAGGACAGTAAATGTCCAGGTAAATTACTGTACAAACTGCTGCTGGGAAACGGAATGAGTGCTCAGTGCAACACCGTGCAGGAGAGGGAGAGGGCAGCCTTGTGACTCACCAAGCAGGCTGACCTGGCTGGCCAGGGAGTGAGCCCCAGCGCCCCTGGTCCCTGCGTCTCTAGCTCTAAGTGTAGCGGTTTGAGATTTGGGTTCTGGGGACTGAGCTCAGTTACCTTGCTAGCATGACAAGTGCTCACCGACTGAGCCACTGCCCTGGCCCCTGCTCCTAGTCACTTCCTCTGAAAACAGGCTCCTCTGTCCTGGCTGGCCTCAGGCTCTACCAGCTGTCTCACCCTCCCTGGTCAGTGGCCACTGATGTTTGCCATCACAGCTGGGATCATCTTTCAATCATGTATTAAGTCACACATTCCCCCTTCATTTTAACGTTTTTGTTTGTTCTTTTCTGAAGTTACATTTTATCTCAAGGTGGAAGTATTTACCACTTTCATAACTTTGTTTTCACTGTATAGTCAAAGAAGATTAAAGCATTTATCATCTAGGGCCACTTTTGTGAGTCACACTCATTCTGTTTTCCCTCTCTTTTCTCTCGGAAGCCATCGGGTCCCTTGTAAAACTCCAGTGTCTGGATCTTAGTGACAATGCCTTAGAGATTGTTTGCCCGGAAATTGGTCGTCTGAAAGCATTACGTCATCTTCGATTAGCTAACAACCAACTACAATTCCTACCTCCAGGTAATCCCTGTTTGTATAGTTTCTTGTTGTCACGAACCTGTTTTTATCACTGTATGCACCAGCAGTGGGATGTATGAATGTATTTGCAAGTATCTGTTTATTTCAAGATGAAACAAAGGAATGTAGGTAAAGCACAGCCAAACGTTCTTCTGGTGTAAATGTGAGAAGATGGTGTTTCTGTCTTAGGGCCACTTCAGGAGTAGAGTATATTATAATCAGTGTCCCCTCCTGCCACTGCCAGGCAAGGTGCCTGTATGAGAGTGAACTCTGATGCTTACAGGGCTTTTTTGTAAAAGCAGTATTAAGAGGTTATACTTAATATATAACTTCACATAACAAGTCTCACTGCTTCCAACTACATTCAGTGCAAAACTTTCAATTCAGTAAAGAACATGATTTTCAGTGTTCATCATATGTGGTGTTTGATCATTTCAGCTTTCAAGTTTCTCTTTTTAGATAACCAGAAAATTAGATGCTCTTTTGAAGACTGCCTAGAAAATGTAGCAACAGGGATAGAAGCTTTCATATTAGACATTAACGGATGCATAGTAGGGGCTGGGGATGTAGCTCAATTGGTAGAGTGCTTGCCTAGCATGTATGAATCCACCAGTGCTATACAAACCATGTACAGTAATGCAGGAAAATCAGAAGTTCAAGGTTGGCCTCAGCTATGGTGGGTTCAAGGCCAGCCTGAAATACAAGAGACCCTGTGTAATTGGAAGTTTTTCTCTGTCTCTCCCAGTCCCACTAGTCCCCACTGCCACTCATTCTGAGGCTTAATACTAATTGTAATTGTCTGGCCAATGGTTCAGGCTTATTACTAGCTCTCACAATTAAATTAGCCAATTTTTATTGGTCTGGGTATTACCATGTGGCTATGGCTTACTAGTAATATTCTGGCATCTTACTCCTTTGGCAGCTATATGGTGTCTCTCTGTATATTTTTTTGGATTTCCTGCCTGGCTCCTGCATGGCCATTGGCCAAATCAGCTTTATTTATCAACCAATAAAAGCAACACATATTCACAGCATGCAGAAGGACATCCCACATCAACCCTGTCCCAAAAAACCAAACCAAAGAATGAAATGCATGAATCTAATGCAGTGTTTGCCAATGCTGCTTATATGCATGAAGGACACAGGGCACTGCTGTTCCGTGTGGCTGTTCAGTTCCTTGTTCTTTCCTGTGCATTACATTTTGTGGTGGAATGTGGTCATTTCCTTCTAGTTCGTTCCCAGAAGTTAATGGTGTTCCTCTGACACCACTTGGCTGTCTCTTAATAACCACTGAAGGTATATGTTTACTGACTGCTTTCTTATAACTTCTTTTATCTACACTTCAGTTTTACAAGAATTCAGGCATCATTTTTAAATTATTTTAGTTTCCTCGATTTATTTCTGTTTTCTGCAGTTGGCTCTTCGTATTTTGAGTGATATTTTGTTCTGAGGCCACTGTGGGTTTTAAATAGTAACTTTTAGGAGAGCCTTGAGTAAGTTTTGTTTGTTTTTGTTTTGTTTTGTTTTGGCACTGGGTGGCCCTGGATGTCCTTGAACTCTGTAGGTCCTGTCTCTGCCTCCTGAGTGATGAGATGAAAGGCATGTGCCACCATGCCTGGCTGAGAGTAGGTGCTCCTCTTCTTAAACATCCTGTGTAGTGCTAGATGGGCCCTCCTACTTCCTTGCCTCACATTTACACAACTCATTGTGAGGTCATTTCAAATATTTGATTGCTTGGGGCCAAGTCTAAACATTTCCCAAGTATCTGGCTGTGTTTGGAGACATAGTATGAAGAAAAGAAGGGGAGGATCACAGAGGTGTTGTTCTTTGGTGGCAGTAGACACCAGCTGATAAGTGGTGGTAGCCCCTTCTACATAGTCCATTCTGTTATGTAGCTGTTTTTCATGCTGTGTTCCCTCGAAGGCTTCCCATTTTTCTGTGGTGGTTGTTTGTTTGGTGTGTGTGTGTGTGTGTGTGTGTGTGTGTGTGTGTGTGTGTGTGTGTGATATTTGCTAGCATGTGCATATGTACATGAGAGAGAGTGTGTGTGTGTGAGAGAGAGAGCTTGAAAAAATAACCACTTACTGAAATATGAAACATATTCAGGATGTAGAATTAACAAAAGCACATGTGTAAAAACCTATTGTGATGTTTGCTATAAGGATAGTCAGAGCTCTCAGAACTGCTTGCACAGTCTTTGCATGTCCACATTGCCACGAAGCCTAGTGTTCTATCACATTCTGAAACTTACTGTGGCTTACAAGATAACTAGCGGTTCTTGATAAATACTTATTTTTCTACAAACTCTCTTCCCTCTCCTACTGGATTGCAGAGTACTGCTGTTCTCTTATTGCACCTTTGCCTTCTCAGCATTTGACTGCTCCAGTTGTGCCTGGCAGAAGTAGGAGCTGTGTTTCCCTGGGAAGTTTGGAAAGGGAGAGGGGCAGAGAGAATGGGGGAGGAATGGGTGTGAGAGAGTCAAAATTGGTTTGCCTTATTCTCTGAATTATTACACTGCATTGTGATGTCTTCTCGGGTGCTGGATGATAGACAAGTGTATTGGATTAAAAGAAGAGGGAAGATAAAGTATCCAGTAGGTTGACTTGTCTTGCTTTCCTTTGGTATTTTGCTCCCTGGCTCTGTTCTTGAGTTGTGCAAACTTTCTACTTAAGCTAGCTCTAGCTGGCTTCTGTAAGCTACAGCCAACGGTTCCACACTCCTGTCTCCTCCAAGGCTCGAGCTGCTTGTCTGAGGTTTTGGAGCTGGAACACATTAATCTTGTCACTCATCTCTGTACCATATTGTACACCCCACTCCTGTTAGTGGTTAGGAAGTCAGGGTTAGTCATAGCATCATTGCAACCATGTCCCTGTGTGATGTGGACCATTCTGTTTGTTAGCTCTTTACCTTTTGTAATATACTTGGTACTCTTCTATATGGTGTCTTTTTTGTTCCACTTGAATGCAAACACTTTAAAGTGTACAGAGAACACTAGATAAGACAGAATGAAGGTATGTTGTAGGGAGTATGGTTTTTCCGCCCGCCCGGTTTTGTCCCGCCACTGCGCCAGCCCCAAATAATACACTGAGACTGTATTTGACATTATGCTGTTGGCCAGTTACTTGTTTCTTATCGGCTAGCTCTGTCTTAAGTATTAACCCATTTCTATGTATTTCTTACTGAGAGCGGAGGGACAGCGGTTCTGTTCTCTCTCCACTCTCCATCTTGACTCTCCTTACTACTTCCTCTTTCCTCCTTGTCTCCTAGTCCCGCTTAGCTTGCTTTCCTATTGGCCAACAGTGCTTTATTAAACCAGTATGAGAAACATATTTACAGAATCGCATCTCCCATCATCTCCTCTTTTCTGTCTAAATAAAAAGAAGGGTTTTAACCTTAACATAGTAAAGTATATCACACAACAGTTATCAAATAAGAATCACAATTAACAATATTTAGTCCATTAACATTTATCAAGATTTAAGAAAGTATTCCATCATCTATTCTATCTTTGTGAGTCTAAAGTCCTATATATAACTTATCTTTAACCCTAACTAAGGAAAACTTATAACCATAACTATCTGTCTTCAACTCCTTCAAAGACCACAGAAGGATAGTATATAAACTCTAGAAATGACAGAGACATCTTGCCTTGTCAGTCACCTGAAGTTCTTCTGTAATCTTCCATCTTCAGCCCATAGGCCATAGTGTGTCTGGCAGACTCTTCAGCAAAGCAGGAAACTTTAAACTGTCTTCTTGTATTGGCAGTCAGTCACTTTTTTTGTGTCTGCAGACTGTCTGGCGGACTCTTCCATGAAGCAGGAACTCTGTAGCAATGTCCATCTTGAATCAGCAATCACTTTTCTGTGGGTTCTGCATGTCCAGTTTATACAGCATAAAGTCAAATAGTCTAGACAAGAGCAATATCTTGTCCAAATGGCTAGTCTTGCTATATTGGAAGTAAACTCCATAATGAGTTTCTTCAGTGTCCATCTTCATCTTCCTTTCTGATTCAGGTGGTGTTTCCAGGAGCATTTATGTCTCACTGTCAAGAAAAACCCTAAACCATTTTAAATGCCATATTCTGTAGGTCTTTGAAAGGTTTGAAGAATACCTATTCATCTTAAATACATGTCTATATATCTAGAAATCCTAACTAACTTAACTATAAGTTTTGACTATTATAGGTAGCTATCTAAAATCTGTACTAAATTATATATTACATTTCTGAGTTATATAAACACAACATCTAAACAAGAGGAGAAATATACTTAATCACAAAATTGACCTTAAATTGTATCAATAAATGAAAATCCATTCCAAAACAAAGTATTCATAGCTATACCATAATCCCCTTTTTAACCTTTAAAAAGAATTGGCTGTGATCATTAACCATTTATAACCAAGTCCATTTAAATGAAAACAAACATTTATAAACAATATTTGGGAATTTGGGCGTCATTCTTTCCAAACTGCTTCCTGCTTTTATGGGGATCCTAAGAAGATGCAGAAATCCTGGCTGTAGTCTGCAAGGCTGCCTTGTTCAAGCTGTTTTGAATGTTGGATCACCCAGGAACGCTGTTTCAGGGGGTCTGGCTTGCTCAAACCACATTAGTCTGGAAGGAATCCATAGCTTTTCATTTTCTGTGGAAACAAAAATAGAAATCCTTTTCCCCAGTAACTTGTCCTTGAACTTACATTTTTGAGTCAAAGCATTTTTAAAATATATAAATTGGATTGATCCAGCAGCATTTGCTTTAACAGTTGTTGTTGTTTCCTCAGCAGTCAAAAGATACACAGACAGTATAACACCATACAGTAACCAGATTCTCTCTGAGCTTTTCATCTTTACATGGCTTTATTATTACTCTGTTTCTTTTACTTTTTATTTTTTATTTTTTGAGACAGGGTTTCTCTGTGTAACTCTTATCTGTCCTGGAATTCACTCTGCATTCCAGGTTTACTTTGCAATCACAGAGATCTGCTTGCCTCTGTCTCTCAAGTGC